TTTGTGTCAACAATTTAGGGGGGGGGAGGGAGAGAACCTTTGCATACTTGGAATTAGTAATTCTCTTCCCACCTCAAAGGTCTTAGGAATCCTTGGTCACCAATGGCACCTAGGTAAAGAATGGGAATGGAGGGCTGGCCAAGTGGCGCAGTGGTGAAGAGCTGGCTTGGGACGCCAAAGGACCCCAGTTCGGATCCCACATATGAGGGCCAGTGACACTGCCCTCTACAGCTAAGATGCTGAACAACAGCTCAACCTGGAGCTGGGCTGCCATGAGTCGCCAGCGACGGCGCAGGCTACAGCCCCTGCTGCAGTGGGTTGCCATGGGCTACCGTGTGTAGCCAGCAGCCGCTGTGAGCGCCCTGTCCAGAAGCCGGTGACTGATCTGCCTCAGCCGGGAAGAGCGCAATGATGGTGCCAACTTGGGCCAGTGAAGCAACATCCTCCACAACTAGACTGAAGAACAAAAGGACAGCAACTTGTCTGTTCCCCTTCCCCCAATTCCCCAGCGCAGTTCCCATCCCCCAATTCCCCAATAAAAATCTTAAAAAAAAAAGAATGGGAATGGAAAGCTCAATGAAAACCTGTCCCCAGTGAGACAGAGAAGCAGCAAAGAACTGGAAAGCATACTGGCTGAAGGAGTCTCGTCCTGTCTAGGTCAGGGACCTATAGGATTATCTTGAGCAAGTTCCTTTGTTTTCTTTACAGAATGACAGTTCTGGGCTGATACTAATAGGCTTTTCTACCTCTAACTTTCCACATTTCTAGTCCAAAAAACCAACTCCAGAATCAATACTAGTTGGTCCTTATCGTTCATATACGCTGTTATTGTATGTGATCACTACACAGGAATTATGCTTTTGAAAAGCTCTTTGTAAGCTCCATCAGGACAAGGACAGATTTCTGCTCACGTCTGTATCCCCAGTACCTGCTCCTGTGTGTGTCTGACACACATCAGTCACTCAACAAATACTGAGAAGTCCTTACTGTCCTTCAATTCAAGACACTAATCTCCAACAAAGATTCACAAAATAGGGATTCACAATTCTGTTTCAAAAACAAAGCAAGTGAGGCTTGGAGACGTGGAAAGGTCCCAAGTTGGTAGGTGGTGGAAACCAATTGTGAACCCAGGCCTCCTATTCCCCATTCAAGGCCTAAAAAGACCACGTGCTAACATCACCCCACCCCTCAATTCCCACTCACCCCCACCCCACATTCCCTGGTTCGCTCAAAGTCGGTAGATGCAAATCCCAATGTCTGGGATGATTCGGATTAAGGGATGCTCTTTGGGGGCGGCCATCAGAGAGGAAACGGAGATGGAAGAACGTCTCAGACTGGAGGGGGGAGAGAGGGCGGGGCGGTGATGCCACGGCTCTGGGGTTTTTCAGAGGCAGGTTCAGAAACCCCGGAGTTGCTCTGATAAGAACTACTGAGCCGCGCCGGGCCCGGGACTAATACGAAGAGGGAGCGAGACAAGCGACGAGGAGGCCAGACCGGAAGCTGGAGCGCGGTGAGACTGTTAGGGGATCCCAGAAGCCGTGAGGCCCAGGAATGGATCTCGGCCCTTGAAGGCAAAGGAGAGCGGAGGGAGCCTGGCTAGAGCCGCACGGGTAAGCGGGAGCCGCTGGCCCAGGCCAGGCCGACGCCACGCGGGCCGTTACCTCCTGCACGCCGCCCTCATGCTGCTGCGCCATGGCCAGCAACATGCCGTCGAACTTCTCCTCCTCTTGCTCTCCGCCCATCGCGCCGGCCGCTAACCACTCTTCGAGTTTCGAGCTTCGCAGGTGCGTCCCAGGTCTTATCCGCTCCTTCGGGCTGCGTCCTGGACAACGATTCCAGTCCTCCGCCTTCCGCAGCGGAGCCGGAAATACGCAAGCGCTCCGCCGCCCAGCCCGGCCTGCTTGCCCTGTCTTCCCGCCTCCCTCCCGACTCGCGACCATTGAACGCGCGGCAAATAGCCCGCTTCACCGACCATTGGTCAACTTGCTGAGCCAATCAACGAGCGCGTCCATGAAGAGGTGGGCGGAGCTGAGGGTGCCGGAGTTTGGCGTGAGTTGCTATGGTCACCAGATGCTCTGGAGCCTTCCAAAAATCCCTGAGCTAAAATCTGGCGGGGTTAGAAGTTAAAAAGGAACAAACTTTGCTCCTCCGCCGTAAGGGTGTCCTCAAAACTTGTAGAACGGTGGAGCTGAAAGTGTCTTAGTCAGCTTTTCCGGTCCTTCCATGGGGCAGTGGAGGCCCAGAAAGAAGGGACTTGCCCAAAGGGCCCCTGATCTCCGTCATCATCACAAACTCTACCAGGACCGGCTTCATGGGTATACAAACTGCAGTTGCACTGGCCGTGGGCTTAGACGAGCTCCATGCTTGGCTTAATGCTCTTTTGTTGCAGTCCTGAAATTTTTAATAAGTTTTGAACGAGAGATCCCCACATAGTCATTTTGTACTGGGTCCTGAAAATTATGTAATGAGTGCTGTATTCTACCTTCACTACTGTTAATGTGGGGGACAGGTCCCAGCCATCTAAGGCCATCCTCTCCACTTTTGCAGTGAATTTCATCATCTTGGTCTTTTCAGGGATTCTGCTCTTGTTATCCTCTTTTAAAATCTCCTGTATCACAAATTTCTTCCTTCTGGATCATTCCCTTCAACTTAACAAACATGTTTTTGGGGCTTTTGTTGTTGTTGTTGTTTTTTAAAGATTTTATTGGGAAATTGGGGTAGGGGAACCGCGTTGGGGAATCGGGGAAGGGGAACAGACAAGTTGCTGTCCTTTTCTGTTCTTCAGTCTAGTTGTGGAGGGCGTCGCTTCACTGGCCCATGTTGGTATTATCATTGCGCTCTTCCCAGGTGAGGCAGATCGGTCGCCAGCCACTGGACGGCCGCTCACAGGCAGCTCTTGGCAGCTCATGCCAGCTTCCAGCCGCTCACGGTAGCTTACTGGAGCCACTGCAGCTCCACTGCAGCCTACACCATTGCCAGCGACTCACAGCAGCCCAGGTCGAGCTGTTGTTCACCATCTTAGTTGTAGAGGGCGCAGCATCACTGGCCCTCATGTGGGATCCTAACCAGGGCCCTGCTGCTCAGAGCTGGCATCCCAAGCCAACTCTTAACCAATGCACCACTTGGCCAGCCCTGTTTTCTTATTTTATTTATTTATTTATTTTAAATTATTTTTTTAGCTGAGCCACCCTGCCACCTGTTGGCAACTCAGCGGCAGCTCAGCTCGGGCAGGGACTTGAACCGCTATTGCTCAGAGCTCGCACTCTTGAGCGAGCTCTTAACAAACTGAGCCACTCAGCCGACCCCGTTTTCTTATTTTAAATACTCACTTTTTTACCTGATTATTGTTAAAGAGGGCCCTCCAAATTGTATAAGCTTCAAGCTCCATAAACCAATATCTGCTATTGGCTTTTGTTGCCACCTTTTTAAGGATGAGGAAACTGAGGCACAGAAATATAAAATTATTTATCCAAGGTCAATCAGCTAAGTGACGGATCAGAATTCAAACCCAAGCAGTCTGACTCCAGAGTCTCCTTTGACGGGATGCTGTGGAGAATTCAGTGAGAAAAAAGGATGTGAAAGGAACTTTATAAATGTTAAGATTAAGACAATTCACAATCAAATGAAATAAGTGTGCCTATTTGTCTGCTGGGGCTTAGTTCCTTATGCAGAGGTAATGAGGGAGCAAATTTCTCCTACTGTATGCCAAAAACTGCTTGGAATTTGACATCCAGGACCTCGCTTTGCTCTCATAGCAGCCCTGCAGGCAGGCATTACTGAGCTCCGGAGGCCCACAGAGATTTGGAGATCAGCCCAAGGTCACATAACTGGAAAGTGATAGAGCCAGGAGCAGATGCCAGGGATGGTGATGGCTGCCTAGGCTGGGCTTGCCAAGGTCCACAGACATGACGCAGCCGAGGACCTTCCCGCCACTCTTACATCCTATGCCCCACTGTCTGAGACAGGAGCCTGGGACAGAGTTGCTGTGTGGCTGGCAGCAGAGCAACATTTCTGCCTAGATTATAAGACCATGCAGCACCAAGGTGGGGGCCCAGGTAGCCACCAACTCTGGGAAACTCAGGCCACACAGCTCTTGCTGCACAATTGGGCCAGTGGGACCAGGGGAACAAGCAAGGATTTTGAAATCAGATAGATCTGGGCCCTGTCTCTTCTTAGTGGCATGACCTTGAACAAGTCAATTGAATCTCAAAAAGTAAAAATCTTGCTTCACAGGGAAGCTCTGAATGTTAGAGTGGAAAGTACCTGGCACATAGTAGGTGTTCAATAAACAGAAGCCATATTACATTATCATTCTGCAAGCGCTTCTCAGCAGATAATGGCCTTTCAGGAGTTCTAGGAATCCAGGCTGGGCAGAGCGAGAGTTCTTAAGTATCTCATTTCTGCAGGGCCCCCAGAACTGGAGTCAGAGAAAGGGGCCTCCTAAACTGCACAGTAGGCAGAGTCCTCCCAGCCCCCCAGGGTCCTGGCTCCCTTCTCTGCAGCCTGTTCCTTACCAACAACAGGAGCTGGGCCCCAAGGTTAGGACAACAAACCAGCGATAAGGCATCTCCAGGTTGGGCCTTGCATTCAAGGCTTGTCCAGTTCTGGAGCTGACTTCCCAGCTTAGCGAAAGTCCTGCAGGCACCAATAGGGACACCTGCCATGGCCACCTGCTGATTGTGCACCTGAGGCCTTGGTGCCGTGGTACAGCCTGGGTTAATGACCCTGTTTATCCACTTGAGTCATCCGATAAGGGGCAGCCGGGCCAGCGGACAGGTGGCCCCATGCCCTGCACCAGCTACTTCATTGACTGAAGCGCTATCAGGGCCACGTGGATCTCCCAAGGCCCCCTCCCCCAGCACTTCCCCAGCAGTCCTGCCAGGGTCAGTGTGTTTTTTTTTTCAATGAACATGACTTCTGGAGTCAAGGTTGTTGGGCTGTTCCCATCTCCTCCCCATTGGGGATATAAATAGCGCCCACAGTGCAGAGCAGAGGGCGGGAGAGCTGGAAGGAGGAGGAGCACTTCCTCAACCATGAGCTCCAGTCAGCCGGGGACCTGCCCATGTCAGGGTGCTGCAGGCCGCCCAGCCATTCTGTATGCACTCCTGAGCCCCAGCCTTAGGGCCAGGCCCTCTGTGCCCCCCTCCAGGAGCCACTGCCTGTGCAGGCAGCACCGGCCTGTCCGGCTATGTGCTCCCCATCGCACCTGCCGGGAGGCCTTGGACGTTCTGGCGAAGACTGTGGTCTTCCTCAGGAACCTGCCATCTTTCTGCCAGCTGCCTCCCCAGGATCAGCGGCAGCTGCTGCGAGGCTGCTGGGGCCCCCTCTTCCTGATTGGGCTGGCCCAAGACACTGTGACCTTTGAGGTGGCGGAGGCCCCGGTTCCCAGCATACTCAAGAAGATCTTGCTGGAGGAGCCCAGCAGCGGTGCAGGCAGTGGCCAGCTGCCTGACCGGCCCCAGCCCTCGCTGGCTGCCGTGCAGTGGCTTCAGTGCTGCCTGACGTCTTTCTGGAACCTGGAGCTGGGCCCCAAAGAATATGCCTACCTGAAAGGGACCATCCTCTTCAACCCTGGTGAGCTCTCAGACATTCCAGGATAAGGGCCAAGGCTGGAGGAGGGCAGGACCCAGCCAGAGAAGGCACCTTCTAAGGGTTTGACATTCATTATCTCTTTCTCTTTCGGTCCTCTTTATCACCAGTCATCTCACAAAAGAAGTTCAGAGAGGCTAAGTGACTTGCTGAAGGTCACACAGCCAGGTAGGGGTAAAACAGGGATAAAAACTCAGATCTGTATATACCAGAGACTGGCTCTTAACCACACCGCCCAAGAAGCTTGCCCTTACCCTCAGGAAAAGAGGAAGTGGGGGAAGGGAGGGTGGGCAGACACATCTATGCCTGTCACAGGTAAAACTGTGGGTTCAGAAAGATCACAGAGAGAAGAGGAATGAAAATGATGGAGTGTAGGGAAGGAAAGAGAGGCGGCTTTGTGAAATTTAGTCAGGAGAGCAAGAGATAGAGGTAGTGTTCTTTGTAATCTGGAGAGCATCTAGATAAGAATTTCTCACCAACAGGCCCTCAAGGAATGCATAAATTATAGTAATTAATTATAATAATAGTAACGAAATACTCATATTACACTTACCATATGTTAGGCCCGATTCTATGATTTTACATATACCAGCTCATTTAAACCTCATAATGAGACTATGAGATAGGTAGTATTATTATACCCATTTTACAGATGAGGAAACCGAGGCACAGAGATGACATAACTTGCACAGTGACCTCAGGTCTGGGGCCAGTCTCGCCCTGTGGTGGCTGGGAATGGGATGCTCACCAGCCCTCTTCACTCTCTGCCCGCAGACATGCCAGGCCTCCACGCCTCCTCCCACATCTGGCACCTGCAACAGGAGGCTCATCAAGCACTGTGTGAAGTCCTGGAGCCCTGGTGCCCAGCAGGCCAAGGCCGTTTGGCCCATGTCCTCCTCACGGCCTCCACCCTCAAGTCCATTCCACCCAGCCTACTTGGGGACCTCTTCTTTCGCCCTATCGTTGGAGATGTTGACATTGCTTGCCTCCTCGAGGACATGCTTTTGCTGAGCCGACCTGCTCCAACCCAAGCAGAGACCAGATGTAGCCTGGGCAGAAGCTGGCAGTGCTGATTTGGCCCAGCTGTCCCCAGAAGTGACCCAATGCTCCCAAAGAGGTCAAGCCTGTTAGAGAGCACTCGGCTCCCTAGGAGAAAGCTGACCCTAGCCCAGCCAGATGGACTATATGGCCGCTCACTCAGCCACACCCTGTCTTGGTCTTCCTTGGTTTGGACACAGTGCTCCAGCTGTCTGGCCAGCCCTTGGAGGCCCCCAGAAACTCTGGGCCAAGACTCCTGTCCTCTCCTGAAATGGAGATGGAAGCTTAGACTACTCATTGGGCCGAAAGTCCTACTGACTTTGTACAGAATTGACTTAAGTTATTGGTTTTTGTAATAAAAGGTTTACCGTCTTGGAGCCTGACATTGTAGTTTGTACATATGGAAGGGACCACCTCACCTCCAGGGTCCACCTTGCCCCCATCAGAGGGAGCCCAAGAGGAAGGAACCATAAGGGGTGCAGGAGCCAGGCCTCAGAGAACCGGGATATTAATTTTCAAAGTGGGATGATGATTTCATTTCTGAGGATGAGACTGACTTTGCACAGGTCTGAATCCAGGGGATAGGATCAGTTCAGGACCCCATCACCTCCTTGCCTTTATCTTTGGGTGTGGGGGGGTGAGTTTCTCCTTGTCCCCCAACCCCTCACTGACCCCTGCTCCCTCAACTGCTGCCCACTACAGGCTCCCGATCACAGACAATAAGGAAAACAAAGCAGCCCATTCCCAAACTGAAACAGACAAGGTCACTGGAATTTTTGCAGTTTGGCATCATTCACTTCCCTCAGGCCTACAGACAACAGAAGAGGATGGTCCATTGTTCTCCCAATGGGAGGGGGCAAGGGTATCTAGGGCTGGCCTGGCAACTGCCCTGGCTTAGCTGCCACAGTAGCTGTTGGATTTCTCTCTTGAAATTCAACTTCCATGACAATTGGTCCACAGCCACTGCCCCAAGCCCTCCTGAGCTCCTGTCCACTGCCCCTCTGTGCCAGTCCTTCTCCTGGAATCCATTCCCACTAGAGAAGAAATGCTTGGCATAGCCATGGCCCCCAGGACTTCTCCATTCAGGGTACGGTTTGTGTCTGTTCTGATTGGTTGGTCTCTGTTCCTCAGTGTCTGTTAATATTTTGAATACCACCCAGGTCAGGGTGACTGACCTGCAGGGTGGACAGGAGGGAATGATAACAACACACATGCCTATAGGACCCCCTTTCAGGCCTCCCCCTTTCTCCAGCAATAGGCCTGCCCAAGCCAGGCCCCACCCCCTTCACCAACGCAGTTTGGATTCTTCTCACGGGGCCTAAGTTAATTATTGCTCAACGAGAGGTCATTCACTCAGGGACAACAGTCTAGGAGTCGATGCATGGTTCAGTCCTCTCCCTAAGGCCCCCAGGACAGGGACCACAGCTGAACTAGTCATGTACCAATTACGGGCACCCAGTGCCAGCAGCAAGGGCACCTCAGTCCCTTACCCTGTCACCCACTCACCACTCAGACACCCAGGATGAGACAGAAACACACAGCTTAGACCTCACAACAAAGTCACACAACTCAGACCTACAGCTTTCTCTCTCTCTCTCTCTCTCTCTCTCTCTCTCTCTCACACACAC